ATACAAGAGGTATACCTACCAGTGAAGGACCTACACAAAGATATGGTTCTATACAAAAGACACCCAATCCTTTATACAACCCGTAACTACATGGGTGCAAAAAAAAAACAAATAAGGAATCGGAGACTACTCCTCAACAGCCAAAAACTCGATTAATGCCGTAGGAACAACATTCTATGCCCTGCACTTTCTCCTGCTTCTTCCAGATTTTCAGTAAAACAACAAATCTTTCACAATTCTTGGAATTGCCCATGACATTACAAACCAGCTGAACATGTCCCACCAGTCTCGTGGCCTAGCTACAATGAAGCAGAAGATGATTTACGTCTTCGCCCACTTCCTTGCATAAGTAATACTAGCTGTGCAAATAACTTTTGTTTTCCTAAGGTTCTTCGACGTCAAGATCACCCCTCTAGCAGCTAACAAAGTGAAAAAGCACACCTTCCTTGGAACCTTGGGAATCAGAATAGACGTAACAGGAAAACCCTCCTCAACTCTCAAGAAAAGCTTCTAATAGAAGGCTTGACAGAAAAAACACCATCGTTTCCCAACTTTCATCTCGTCAAATCGGGCCTGTCAACTGCCTCGCAATGCTGATGCAGTAACAGTAACATCCTTTCAAACTCATTCACCTCCCAATCCTGAAAGCTCTCCTGAACCTCAAATCCTAAAACGCTACTTCCCCTTGTGTCCCCGGGGACATCTGTTGGACTACCGCTCCCCGCTAAAAACTTTCCCGACAGTCACTCAAGCACTTTCACACAACAAGAAAGCAAAGTGTATCGTCCCTTAAAAGAGATATTGCAGTACACGAACACTCTAGGAATAAACATAGAGTAAAACATTATTATGGTTGTTATGATCCGCTTCAATATCCTATAAGTCTACCTAAAGGAGAAGGAGGTTGGCATCAAGGAATACAGTAGTGTCGCAATCAAATCAAGAATAATCAAACAACTCCAATTACAACTCCCCAGACAGGGAGATCAACATACAAAACTGCCGTAGACATTTTGGCCAATGAAGCACAAGGTACGCACAGTTAACTATAGTCAAGAAAAATGTAACTACATTCTCCTACATATTACAACTACAAACATACAATATCCAGTTACTACTAACCTTCTAGGGATAACTTGTACAAGGAGAAAACCAACAACAAGTAGCAGTGATGTAGGTTTTCCTTAGTCCCAAATCAATCCGAAACAGACGGGCCAAGGAACTTATAAAGTTGGGTAACATGACTGACATAATTAGTATTAACCAAACACTAAACTATTTTACGTTATTGAATATGCTACTACTAACGACCTCTAACCTATCCTAATCCTTAAATATTACGACATTCCTCTCTTATCATACATTATAGTCAGGAATAGCAAATTACAGACTCATGCACCTCTTCAAGTACAGTAGTACAAACTCTTGCTTGATGAAAATATTTATACCAAAAAAAACATATGAGCTATTTGTCGTGAATAACTTCTTCCACATATTTCAACCTATTACAGATCTCTAAGTAAATACTATGCAAAATAATAACGAGTACTTCTAAATTATTGTAGGTGTACGACGCGAAACAAAAGGCTGTGTTTCCTGCAGAGAGTATTACTGTTATAAACTTTAAGTCCGAACGGGTGACAAATCCATATTATTACTATGTGGGAGATTGTTGCAGCAGTTTATTGTGGACATCTACAATAAAATAGAAACAACTAGACTTGAATATTTAAAACACGACACCTCCGGCTGATGCCCTGCGATCAACCCCAAAGCTAATTGTGCCAGATATAGTACCAAGACATTTCCATGTGTGTATCAAACTAAAGACGAGGCATGCAACGCACATGCGGTAAATCTAATATATATATATATTATCAGGATATTTTACTTTCGGTGCAAATAGAAAGTTAGGTGTAAAAATTAATTTTACAAGCTGTCCACTATTAATAATTTATTATACAATTCATGCACTGCAGCCTATGTCCATAATTCATATTCATAATTACAAAAGAAAGAAGCACATTTTTAAAATGTATTACTTCTTTTTGATGTATTACTTTGTTTTATTTTACTTATTTTTTATATTATAAATAATTTTTTGTTATTTACTTTTCTATTTTAATAAATTAAAATAGTTTTATTACTTTTCCTTATACTACCCTTAATAATTTTAAAAAGGGTGTCAAGTCAACATGAATCAAATAATATGAAATGATGAAGAGAACACTAATCACTTACTTCTCAGCATTTCCACCAAACCACAGTCTCCTTTAAATGTAGTGTGTCAATATTGATCAGTCTAATAATTAATAGGGTAGAAAGGTATTTTAAAAAAATTCGTATTCAGTATTTGTAATTTATATTAAGATAAATAAATAAATAAATAATATGGTTTTACACAAAAAAAATTTAATGTTTTACCATAATCCGTAGTGCATTATGTGTAAATACTCATTTTGTTCTTCTTTATTATTTTGGTGGTGGTGTGTGAGAATTAGTAAAATTTTGTTAGCCCAATTAGGGATGGCAAATGGAGTGCACTATGATAAAAATAATTTCAAACGGTAATTAATAATACACATTAATAAAGCATGTTGATTTTTTTAAGACTAATAACTAAATAATCTTGTTTTACACATTTTTTTAAAATATTTAACCACTGCACTATGTGCAAATACTCGGTTTATTTTTGGTGGTGGTGTGTGTATGTGAGAATTAGTAAAATTTTGTTAGTCGAATTAGGGATTGCAAACGAGGCGCACTAAGATAAAAATAATATTTAGCAGTAATTAATAATACACATTAATAAAGCTTGTTAAAATATTTATGGGTATTTGTTTATTGTCATTAGATCTAATGTCGCTATAGGCTTTACAAAGAATGTTAATTGTCTCTTAAAAAACATATTTAGTAGCAATTAAACTATTTCTATTAATTAATTATCGCTAATGATCATTTTTTATTTCGTGCGGAGCAAGCTGTAAAGATTGAGTATAAGTTGAAGGACGACATTTTATTCATGTCAGACAGAAAGTTGTTAAAGAATTATAGTGGAAAGACTCCTAAACGATTGAAGTAATGAAACCTATAACTGCTGAAAATATTAATTCATTGTCCTAAATAAACAGGGATAGGGACTGCTGAAACTTAATATGACTAAATAACTAATACGCCCCCTCAAGTTAGGCAATGGGTCACTTTGCCTAACTTGAATAGATTATTCTCAAATGCAGGTTTAGGCAGTGACTTGGTGAGAGTGTCAGCTATTTGATCGGCACCATGAACATGAACAACACAAACCCGTATGATATCGACATGGTGGAGAACAAAGTGAAAGTTCACGGCAGTATGCTTCAGACGACTATGGAGGACAAGATTCTTGCTCAGGAATGTGGCTCCAAGATTGTCACAATATATTGTGGGTAACTGATGTACTAGAAATCGCAACTCAATATTGAGATTCAACCTTTTAAGGAGATTCTACCTTTTTCAAAAAAAAAAAAAACTAACCCTCTAAATAAATTGTGGGTATAATAGGTAAACAATATTGTCTTTTAACTTGATTTGTCAAAAATGACAAGTAAAAAGGGACAAGTGAAAAGTCAAAATTGGACAAGTAAAAAGGGACAGAGGGAGGAACAAGTAGTATATTTAGTATATATTAGAAGTAATTGTATAATATAATGTAAGTATCCTATTAAGTTGTATATTTAGTATGTATTATAGGTATATATATATATATATATATATATATATATATAGATAATATATTGTGTGTGATTTTAGTTATATTATAAGTATATATATAAATAATAAAATGTAATCAATCTATTGTCATAAAGAGTTATAATTATTACAAAATTAGATAGATAATAACACACTATATTGATAATTAACTCAAACTTTTGAATTAATAAATGGTGATTAAAAAAAATTGTATGATCCGAATCGTTAGCCCGGAGGGTCAAAATCTGTACCCGACCCATTAGGCCCGGTAGAATTGCCTAACAGGTCACATATTGGTTTTTTTTCTGTTGGAATTACTATTGAGACCAATACCTACCCGGCCCATTAGTGGGGAACCCAATCTGATATATCAGAAAGGTATATGCTAGCTTGGCCCGGCCCATTTAACAGGCTTAAGAAAATGAGCAACTTTCACATATAGCAAACACAAAAATCATATTTGTATGCTATAGCTATAGTTTGCATAACTGCGCTCCATAGCAAGCATAAATATGTATATTTCGCTATACATATACAAAAGAAAGCAGATGTATAATTTCGTTATACATAAAGAAAGCAGTTGTATAATCTGTTTTGGTATACATATACAAAAGATCAATTGTATAATTTGTGTTTGTATAAAGCGAGAAAGAGAGAAAGACAAAAGAAAATTGGGCAGGGGAAGATCGTATTTGTATAATCATAAGTGTATAGGACGAAAATATATGCATTTGTATTTGTATATACAATTTCCTCTCGCTTTATACAAACACAAACACAATGTATACATTTGTGTTTGTATAAAGTGAGAGAGGCGAGTGAGCGAGCGAGATCTGGGAGAGTGGCGAGCGAGATCTGGGGGAGGGGAACGAAAATATATGTATATATACAATTTTCTCTCGCTTTATACAAACACAAACGCATTTTATACATTTGCATTTGTATAAAAAGCGAGAGAGGCGAGGGAGAGAACGAGAGTGGTGAGCGAGATTCACCAGGAGAGAGGCGAAATAGCAACAGTTTGCTATGGGGTACAATTAAATCAAACTATATTTATAGCATTTAATTTGAATTAATAGTTTGCTATTATATACAATTTTCCCTAAGAAGAGCAAATTATGATTGGGCTTGAAAATTTGTTCAACTACAAATATAGGAATCAAAGGATTTAAGTCGAAAATCATATAATTAATTAAATAACTCATTTTGTAATTCATGAGCTATAATTCCTTGAAATTAAAATAAACTAAGAGAAACACAATTAATAAACCTCAAATTTGATAGATGCTTGAAATAAACTAATTAGCATTCCATTATAAATTACATGCATGGAATTGAAACAATCACTACTTATTTAACGGAACTTGTAAAAGCTAGATTAGTCTGTATAGTTGTGAGTATGATGAGTATGATGCCTGCCACAGTTGAAGCTCTTGCCCAAGACTTATTAAAATAATTGTGCTTCACATTTGCCCTCATTCTGTTCCATGGTTTTTCACAATGTTCAACTGCCTTTTTGAATTCTTCTTTGTAATAGAAGACGGAATACTTAGTGATCCCTTTTATGATTTTATTGAATAGGCTAGCCATTTCTTTGTCATCTGTTGTCCAGTTCACTATGATTCCTTTTTGGCGAAGAAAAAATATTACATCTTTGTCTGAGCCGATAAGACGATCCATGAAAGTTGCATAATCACTGAAATATGTATCTTGTACATCAGATGATTGTTGCTCATAAGCAATGAGATTTTGCAGGAGGGTTTCCGTTGCACCTTCAACTCGTAAACAAGGAATTGTCATGGATCCATTCTTGAACTTTATATCCATTAAACTTGCCATATCTCTGGACTTTGAAAAGCTAACTCCAGCTTCTGAAAGTTCTATTGCATTTGGCATGACCATAGAATACATTATGTCATCGTTTGACTCTTTTTTGGGATTCCTATGACATGAAAATATGTGTACTAGATGAAGTAAATGTTTGATATTTTCAACATTATTACATTCTGTCTCTCTATAGGGTTCATGTACCTGCATGTTAGCAAAACGCATGAACAACTTATTCACCAATATTAGCAATGACGATTCATCAACTTGCTTTGTCATGTGATGAAGGTGGTCTAGGATAAAGAAAGGAAGTTGGTTATCTAGTAACATCAAATCTCGAAATATGTAGCTTGCACGATTAGGATTCATGATAATCCTATCTTCTCCTTCTGGACACAGTTTGCTACGCTCTCGAATAAACTCAACCACAAAACAACCATCAATCAACAACATTTGGCAAAATTCACTATTGTCTTGTATATCGTCGTAACAATTTAGTGCTTTCTCCTTCAGTGTCATCAATTTACTGATGCATATTTTTACATCAAGCCCCTCTCTTCGTTGAAGAAACCGTTTTAGGTATGACACTTTGTACTTTTCCATTGGATCAAGTTGAGGATTGTTCTTATGGTAAGGACCAATAGAGACCATCTTTGGTGTATAAGCATCTGAATTTAATTCATGTAACATCTTGTTTACTTTGAATATGGTACGCGATTCAATAGGTGAAATGCTTAAATTCTTAAACATTTCATCAATCCTTTCTTCTATTTCCTCTATGTCGATTAAATGATATTGTTTCATCATTTCTATCTGTAACGGAAAAGAGTTGAAGAAATTTTAAAATGTTTATTAGAAGCATTATGCAATAAGCAAGCAATTACATATTATTTTAATACGATCAATTTTACAATATAAATAAGATACATCTCTCGTTAGAACAAGTAATGTATATATACGTTTACTTTTTTTTGTTAATAGACTGAATTAAAAAAAATCTAAATTTGATTTTTTAATTTAACAAAATGTGACTTTAAAACTTACCTCACCATTACGCTTTGAGACCCACTCGAAAAAAAAAAATTCAAAAGGTGTAAAACTATGATTAGTGAATATGTTAGGACCACTAGGTAGACCTAAAATTATAATAAAGGAAATAGTCTCAAAAATTCTATATTAAAATTTTAAAAGAAAAGTGGGCTAATGAAATCAATAAATTAATTTATGTAGTTGTGAGAGAGAGACCTCATTTTTTTTTCAATTGAAGAAACAGTGGAATTTGATTATCTGTTGAGGTAATCTCAGTAGAGTGTGTCATCCCCCTTTCTTCTGAGGGGTCGTTTGGTACGAAGATGAATAATGCAGTGATTACTAATGCTGGAATTAGTAATGCATGGATTAATAGTGGAAGGATTATTAATTGTATTTGATTCAATCAATGAAGAAAAGCAACTAATAGTATTTTCACACATGTTAGTGTTTTAGTGAGAATCTATTTTTCCAGTGAGCCAATTTGTTAAAAATTGAGTGGGAAAATCTTACTTTGATAGAGATGTTGTAGGACTCTCTGAAGCATGTAAGTTGTTATAAACAAAAAAAAAAAAACAGAAGGTGATTTAAATTTGAAACAACAGAAACAAAAACAATTGTGTTTTTTCGTATTTTCATTCACCTTTCCCTTTACACTATAAAATATTATGTAAATCATGGCATTCAAATTGAGACAAAGAATAAAGAGTAATAGTTTATCATAGAACAGGAATATTTAGAAAAAGAAATACCTCTTTGCTTTGGCTGTTTCTTTTTTATCTATTTGTTTCTCTTTTTGGTTTGTTGTTTCTATAAGACAGGTCATGTAATGACCCTCATGGTCATTTCTGTGTCTTGCCTTTTGTGTGTCGTTTAGAGCGTTCCTATAGCGACCCCAAGTCATTTATGACTTGCTGGGACTGACAGTTCGGTCACCTGGTCGTTCGTTTGGTCTTGGTGCGAGTTTTTGTGTTTTGGAGCTTATGAACCTTGAATAATCATTTTCGATTAAAAGTTCAAGGAGATGACATCAGAATCCAATTCTGACGATTCCATCAGCTCCGGAAGGGTCATTTTAGGCTAGTAGCATGGTCGACATGACTCCCGAGGTTTTCAGTGTGAGTCGGTGCGATTAGGCGTTTTAGCCTTTGAAGTTTGACTTTGGTCAACATTCTGAGTAAACGCGCTCGGATGAGAATTCCGTCAGCGTGGTTAGCTCCAAAATGTCGAGTTTGGTCTAGATTGGCCCTTCTTTTGTGTCTGGAGGTTTTCGATATCTATCCGAGCCCTTTTGTGTGTTTTGACTTAAAATGGTTTTTGGAAGTGGGACCCACTTTTTATCGAAATGACCTCTGATGGAAATTTCGACTGCGCCGTTCAGTCTGGAATATCAAATTTGGTATGGTTGCATATCTCGTTTGCGTGCACGGGGTCCCGAACGAGTACGGAGCACCCCGTCGGAGTTTCTAGTTTTTGGGAAATTGCAGATTTTCTGCAAAACAGCAACATTATTATTTCCAAATTTAGTATATAAAATATATTTTATACATAAATTTATTCAATTCAACACTTTATTTTGTGGCCTTTCAATATAAAAATGCTCTTGGCCGACAGTAATTTTTTTTGAAAAATCCGCTGACTCAAGTGAATGACGATATATTCTACGATATTTTACTTTTAAGTACGAAAAAAGAAAGTTTGGTGTAAAATTAATATTACCAAAGTAGGGTAGTTGAGCAGGTGTATTAATATCACAACAAAGTAAAAATAAATTATTTAATTAAGCTCCAAGACTATTTTATTTTTAAGTCTCCTTCTGGGTAAATTAATTGTACAGTACATGAGTATGAAAAGGACGATAAAAAGCATTTTAGTCATTTTATCAAAATCAATGCACTACATGGTCAATATTTAACACTTATGTAACTTGCCTTCTCTTTTACAAATTCAATAATTTTCTCATTAAATTAAGTTTCACATGATTTGTTGGTAAACACTATTTACAAGTTGTTTAACTATCGTTACTCCTACCGACTTATATAAGTTGTCATGACTATCAAGAATAAGTACTCAAACTTGTTATTTTATCAAAATCAAGATTAAATTAATTATTTTTATCCCATTTAACCCTTTAATATTTTATATTCTTAAAATAAGATTAACTTAGTTGTCCTTGTGAAAATGACCATATATAGTTAATAAAATTATTATTATTTTCCTATCGTATGGTAACAATGTCCTTTATATCACCCCAAAATGAACTACGTTACGAAAAATAAGGAGATATATACGGATGCAATGCATAGTTATAAATGCAACGACTAATATGGGACGGAAATAACATTATAATTAACTCTAAGACGACTTAGAATTAAGTGGTCAACCGAATATTAAAGCTTCCCTTTTCACTTTATATCAATATCTAGTTTTATTGTCCATTTTTGATAGATAATTAGATAGTTACTATCTTCGTCTCAATCTCATATTAGATGGGCACTTTCTATATTTTACATAATAATTAAGAAATCATTAATAGATTGAGTAACTTTACTATTTCGCCCTTTGTTCATATTAATTAGCCTATTGAAAAAATAAATTATGAATCTTCAAAATTTCTTTAAATATCCATATGAAAGGAGAAGTAGCCTAAGAAATTTTACAATCTCTTGAAATTCATCCACATAGAAAATCATAGGGTACACCAAATTAAATTATATATTTAATTGTCAAAATTAAAGAAAAGTGAACTAATGAAATCAAAAACAAATTTATATAGTTGAGAGAGACCTCATCTTTTTCAGTTGAGAATGTAGTGAAAGTTGGTCATTAGTTGGGGTAATCTCACTGGTTGAGTGTTCCATTCCTCTTTCTTCAAATGTAATTCCTAAAAAAAAAAACTTTGTTTCCTTTTAATTTCAATTCATATTATTATTAATCCAAAGAAATATATTCATTGCAGAATTTGATTTGAAAAGAAAAGACAAGCCAATAAAAGGGAAATTATGCAACATCAACTCTCATTATAAGTGTCTACATGTCCAAATCCAAAATGGAAGAGCATAGATTTCAGATGAGGCCAAGCTAAAGAACATAATTATGTATTATGCCTTAGAAAACACTTATAATATTCTCCTTTTTTATTTGATTGTTTTACTCTTTTTTTTTAGTTCATTTTAAGAAGAACGTTTCTTTCATTTTTTGGTGATTCTTTAGTTCTAATTTTTCACATGATATGTTTACAATCAAAAAGTTAACGGGCACTATGATATATTTTACGCATTTTTAATTTAAGACTATAAGATTCAAAAGGCTCTTTACTTTCTTAACCTCTACATCAAGTCAAAAATCACACAAAACTTTGAAACATACACTACTAAACATTAAGTATTTTTCCATTGAAATTTTCTATTGAAAAACGTTCGGTGACTATTTTCACAAATATTTTAATTCTATCAATGAAAAAAATAACTAATAGTATTTTCACACATGTTAGTGTTTTAGTGAGAATCTATTTTTCCAGTGAGCTAGTTCGTTAAAAACAGAGTGGGAAAATCTTACTTTGGTAGAGATGTTGTGAGACTCTCTGAAGCATGTAAGTTGTTATAAACAAAAAAAAATAAAGGAAAAAAAAAACAAAAGGTGATTTAAATTTGAAACAACAGAAACAAAAACAATTGTGTTTTTTCATATTTTTATTCACTTTTCCCTTTACACTATAAAATATTATGTAAATCATGGCATTCAAATTGAGGTGTAGCAAAGAATAAAGAGTAATAGTTTAGCATGGAACAAGAATATTTAGAAAAAGAAACACCTCTTTGCTTTGGCTGTTTCTTTTTTATTTATTTGTTTCTTTTTTTGGTTTGTTGTTTCTATACGACAGGTCACCTGTAAATTTATAAGAGAAAATGTGATCAAATATTCATATATAATATAATGTAATATAATTTAGTGTGTGGTCTTGTTTTGGTCTTTCAACACACAATATTGTTGGCCACTCATGGAAAGATAAGGAGAAGTCTGCTGACTCAACAAGTCAATTATTTTGATAGCAAATATATGTGCATATACTTATTTTTGTGTGGATATATTGCTAAAATTAAAGATCCTAGCTAATTATATTTTCTTATAATCTATCGTTAAATGGGTTAACATGAAATTTTTGTTGTTTATCTATAAATTTTGCTTTTCGCTGACTCATTGTTTTCTAGACTGTATTTCATCATTATTATTATTATTATTATTATTATTATTATTATTATTATTATTATTATTATTATTATTATTATATAAGGGATATAATATATTCCGTTATTGAGATGGTGTATATGTTAATAGTTAATACACTTAAGAGAACGTGAATATAATGTATTTCACTACTTCCTCTGTCCCATTTTATGTGAGGTAGTTTGACTCAACACGGAGTTTAAAAAAGAAAGGAAGACTTTTAAAACCTGTGGTCCAAAATGAATGATAGAAATTTGTGTAGTTGTAAATCATTTCATTAGGGGTAAAATAGACATTTTATAGTTAAATTGTTACTTAATATAGAAATGTGTCATTCTTTTTTGGACTGACTAAAAAGAAAAGTAAATCACATAAATTGAAACAGAGAAAATATTATTATTCTCAAATACATTTATTATACGCGCGAATACAATATATTCTACTATTATATGGAAAGTTTTCTCTTACTTTAATTTTACTCGAACTTATAAAAAGTAGTTTACATAAGACTCTTTATAACTTATGAGTGTGATATCATTTATTCATTCTATGCTAAGTGCTTTTCCAATGGCGAAATTGAATTGATCAATCTTTGAATTACAACAATAATAACATACTCAGTATGATTTTATTTATAGAATTTGAGAAAACTGAGTGTACGCAGATCTTATCCTACTTTGTATGAGGTAGGGTGATTGTTTCCAATAAATATTACGATATATTTTCATAGATTAGAGAGAAGAAACCATTTTGTGCAGTTGATTTTCCTCTTTAAGAATCTAATCCAAGAGTTGACAATATGCCCTGTTTCACTATACTTGCTTTTAGGGGTGGGCATTCAATATTCGATTTGAAATTTTTGAATTTTGGGTTTGATAATTCGATAATTGATAGTTAAAAATAGATACCAAATATCAATTTTTTCAACATATGAAAATTAGCAACAAAGGTGTTGGAGGCAGAGGCAAATATAGTTAATATTCTACGGGGTAGACTAAAGTACTTAATAATTTTTTACAAGAAAAATAGATATATATGTAAAAATCACTAGAATTCTAAAGATAAGTTACCATGAGTAACTTTTTAGTTATAAAATGTGTTTCAGAGTAATGAATTATAAAACGTTATTGAAAGTAACATTTGATATTTGTTTATTTTGAATAAAATATAGCATAAAACATTACTGAAAAACACGTTTATTCTAGTTTTGTAATACTTCAAAAATATATATTAATTTGATGATTTGATTTAAATAATAACTTACTTTGATAAAAAAAAATCGTTTTTTAAATCCAATTAATTACAAATTTTGATTTGAAAAGAAAAGACAAGCAAAAAGGGAAATTAATTTTAATTTTCTGGTAGCTTTATGAAAAAGAACCATCTATACATGTCTTGTCATAAACTGTAGAAAAAGAAACTAATATATATAAGGCAAAAGGCATAAATTGCCCCCTAAACGTATACCCAAAAGTCATTTATACACTTTAACTAATGGGGTGACCTATTACACACCTTAAGTACATAAAAGTATATTTATTTCCCCCTTCCGTCACCCAACCCAAGACATTATGCCTAGAGTGAAAGCCACTCGCCTCCTAGTTAAGTCACGTAATAAAAGACCCCCAATCCAATTCATTTGACCCAAACCAGTTTCTTTTGACCCAAACCCGTTTCTTTTCACCCAAACCTGATTCTTTTCACCCAAATCCATTTTATTTTACCCTAGTCCATTTATTTCACCCACCCGTTTCCTTTCTCTAAGAACACCAAAACCTAATCGAAAAAATTCATCTGTAAATCCTAATTTTAGCTAAAATTTTCTTCAATTTATTGGTGTTTTTGAAGCATCCTTGTAGTTATATTTGAAGAACATTGTCAATCGAGGCGTTCATCGTTTGGTGGAAGCAAATCGGTGGTTACTAGGGTTTGGTGGGTACAATCGAGGCGTTCATCATTCATAATTTGTTGTCGTCTCCATATTTGAAAGGTCAGTCAAACATTTCTAGGGTTACTTCATAGTTCATACTTTTTTAGTCTTAGGGTTATTTCGTCTTTATTTTATTTTTTCAAGTTTACTGTATGTCGTCTTTCATTCACATGATTCTCCGTTGTTGTTATATGAATTTTGTTGTTGTATATGTTTTGTCGTTGTTGTTGAGGGTTAACTGATAACATTATTTTCAAGTTAAAATGTCTTTTGAATTGATTACTTTGAGATTTTACCACAGTGGTGTTATTAAGATTGGAAAAAAGGAATACAAGGGGAAAACCATATCATGGTGGAGGAGTTTATGAGTTTTTAGATGTTGATATAGATAGGTTATCTTATTTTGAATTGAGGGATTGTCTGAAAGAGTTGGGGTATGAACCTGGACAATGTGTGTTGTATGTAATGTTGACACCCAATTTTGACCGACCTTTAACCCTTTTTAGGAATGCTATTCGATTAAATATGTATTTTTTAAAATATTTCGAGTTCAAGATTTTAGTTGATTTTTGTCTAAAAATAATATATTTTAGTAAGCTGGATTTTTAAAAATCTATTGTAATTATTATTAAATGATTTTATTATTATATTTATGGATAGTTAAACTCGTAATAATTACTTATTTAAATGTTTTAAGAAACTTAGATGTGTATAATGTATATGAAAATATTTTAAAATATAAAATTTATTAATTGGATATCAATTCCTAAATTTTCCCCCAAATCATTTAAATTTTAGCCCATTTTATTCTAATTCATTCCAATTCTAGCCTATTCAATTTCAATTTTTATCCTTTCATTTCAATTCTAGCCAGCTTTATTACAGATTTGGCCATTCCAATTTTCAATCTAATTTTCAGAATTTTTGATTCCATTTAATCTCATCCGTCCATCTTTTAAGTTAAATCCTAGCCGCTCATTTAAACTAATCCTACGGTTGAGATTGAATCCTCTTATTTCCTATTTTTAAAACTAAAGACTCCAAACCTAAATCTATTCACTCTTTTTCTCTCATCTCTAAAAAAGAACAGCCGCTGCCTCCATCTCTCTGCCTCCACTTCGCCGGCGAGGATGGCCACCACGCAGTCCGGTGGCAGCCTCCTCTCTCTCGTCTCCCTCTTCTCTTTCTCTCTCCTCCTCTTCTTCCTTCTCCCTTCCTATTTTTCCTTTTTTATTTCTCTTTGCAGGACCACCAGCTGCTCCGACCAGCGACCAGCAGCAGCCTCACGCAGCTCCAGCCGGCGAGGACAGCCACCAGCAGCTCCAGCCAGTGACAGCAACACCAGCGAACTCCGGTGACAGCAGCAGCTCCAGCCGGACAGAAACAGCAGCAGGCTCCACCGGCGTCCAGCAGCACCTCCGACCGGCGAGAGCTCCTCAGCGAGCAGCCGTGAAAGCCACCAGCAACAGCAGCAACCAGACGACGCCACCAGCACCTCCGCCCCTCTCTTCTCCGGCGAAGCTCAAAGGCTGTGGAAGACGGATCTTCACAGATCCGTCTGGGTTTGTTCTCCTAAATTCGATTATATGATTTCTCTATTTGATTATGAATATATGATTTTGCATGTTTGTGTTATTATAAAAATGATTAACGGCTGTGAATTTTTGTCCTAAGCATTGCAAATTTTTGATTGATTAGATTTTGCTTCATTAGTATGATGACGTTGTATAGTCGATTGTTGGCCTGCTAAATTGTCGAAACTGTTAATCTTCATTTCATTTCTAAGTGATATCTTCATTTCTGCCCCTATGCTTGACAGATTTTGATTGGAATTTGCATACTGTAAATTTTAAATTTTATAAATGGAAGCATGAACAAATTTCCTTATTTCTCTTTTAGTGAATGATCTTACTTGCTATTAATTAATAGTTATTGTAAATCGATCCCTCCTCCCCTAATTATTGTCCTAAGCAGATTTTCTACATATTATATCTTTGGTAAGTCGGTGGCAGCTTCCTCTCTCTCGTCTCCCTCTTCTCTTTCTCTCTCCGCCTCTCCTTCCTTCTCCCTTCCTATTTTTCCTTTTTATTTCTCTTCGCAGGACCACCAGCTGCTCCGACCAGCGACCAGCAGCAGCCTCACGCAGCTCCAGCCGGCGAGGACAGCCACCAGCAGCTCCAGCCAGTGACAACAACACCAGCGAGCTCCGGTGACAGCAGCAGCTCCAGCCGGACAGAAACAGCAGCAGGCTCCACCGGCGTCCAGCAGCACCTCCGACCGGCGAGAGCTCCTCAGCGAGCAGCCGTGAAAGCCACCAGCAACAGCAGCAACCAGACGACGCCACCAGCACCTCCGCCCCTCTCTTCTCCGGCGAAGCTCAAAGGCTGTGGAAGACGGATCTTCACAGATCCGTCTGGGTTTGTTCTCCTAAATTCGATTATATGATTTCTCTATTTGATTATGAAGATATGATTTTGCATGTTTGTGTTATTATAAAAATGATTAACGGCTGTGAATTTTTGTCCTAAGCATTGCAAATTTTTGATTGATTAGATTTTGCTTCATTAGTATGATGACGTTGTATAGTCGATTGTTGGCCTGCTAAATTGTCGAAACTGTTAATCTTCATTTCATTTCTAAGAGATATCTTCATTTCTGCCCCTATGCTTGACAGATTTTGATTGGAATTTGCATACTGTAAATTTTAAATTTTATAAATGGAAGCATGAACAAATTTCCTTATTTCTCTTTTAGTGAATGATCTTACTTGCTATTAATTAATAGTTATTGTAAATCGATCCCTCCTCCCCTAATTATTGTCCTAAGCAGATTTTCTACATATTATATCTTTGGTAAGTGTTGATTTTAATTTGTTTCCTTTGCTTGTGGACTGATCTTACTTCCTTCGGATAAGGAATTGATAATGTAATTGGCCCCAAGATTATTCTTTTCCTTAGATGTTATTCCGCCAATTTGTGTGTATTAATAGAGTGATTGATTCCCTTGGGCTTAATTAGGATTCAAATAGATTCTTATTTATTTATGGTAATATAACAATGAGTAATTATTTTACTTAGGTGTTTATTGCTTTCCTTATACATGCTAGCCGGTTCTTACCTTATTAGTTGTAACTTTTAATTATATCCTTGTCTTATTTAGCTGCTCTTATAATTGGTAAAAGTTTTAAAATTGGATTTAGTTCTTCTTTAATAAAGGAAATTGTTTATTAATTGATTCCTTAAAATATTTATTTTCCTTACATATGCCCCTCTTCTATTATATAAATAGGACCCCTCCCTTCATTATAAACCCCCACACATTCTGACATTGTTCACACCTTACTTGAATACCAAATTATTGCTCTACTCTTAAAAAAGAATTAAGCTTTCCGGTAAACGCATAAAAGCTCCTCTATTCGCTATTTTTTGCTGTGTTCGTGTGGGTTATCGGACCAAGTGTGGGTCTTCATTGCTGTTAAATATATCTGCATAATTGGTTAGTTCCTCTTCGTTAGGTTAAATTTTGTTTTTGCATTATTACTTTGAATATTGTTGTATGTTGGAATGAATAAAAGGAAGCACCCGAATTAGTTTCCGTTTTTCCCTCTCTATGTGTGATAAAGTCTATGGTTATTATTTGTTTGTTGTGACTTCTTGTGTGTCGCTTATACGAAAGTAATTTGTTGCTATGAATATTTGAGGTTACGATTATTTCACCATTATATACATGTCTTACATTATCCCTTCTAGCAGGTTTTAAACTTAGAGTTCAAGGGATTGAAGAGTCTCTTAGAAGAAATTTCCGGATGGAGCTATTATTTATTTTAGTGTTACATATTTTATTCATTTTGTTCTTTAATTTGGCTTGTAATATTGTGTATAACTCCAACACTATCTCTATATGTGATAGATATATTTGGGGGGATCGTCTAAAGGGGAGGGGATATACATGCTAATTGTTTATTTTGTTTTATTTTAGTTTAACTTGTTTTGCTATGTGTGTTTGTTATAGATAACGAGCTTGATGGAATCCCTTAAATAATCTAACTTAAAATCAATTATTTATTTATGCGCATAGTTTTAAATCAATAAATTTGTAGTGAATAACTTTAGAAGATGTTGCGGGATAATAATCGTTGGACTTTCCGTTAAATTAATTAATAAGAGTTTGATAACTGTAGTTTATACAGATCTTAGTTTTATGTGTTTAATAACTTTTCAGCACGTTAAACTAATTAGCTTATTCATTTAGATTTTAACCTTAGCTTTATGTGAATAAATTCAGACTACTTAGAAAAGCATGCCTATAGAATTCAATTAATAAAATTGACGTTAATTAATCAGTTTAAATAATTTCAGCATATCTAGCTTATCATTTATATATTTGTTAGTCACTTAGATATCAAGCCTGTAGACTCTCAAATTTCTCATGCATGTTAATAACTAAAAGAATTAAAATCTGTCTCATATGCCTGCTGCCTTTTTTTATCTGATATAATTATTTTCTGCATTTTTCTGCCACTTAAAATCAACCATTTTTTTGCATAATGTGCTATTGTAAAATACTGCCTTAATTATAAATCTGCTCGAACTATCAACTTTTGCATTAATCAACTACTGCTTAAAATAAGCTGATTCATTTTAGCATGTTAATTAATAGTAATCTAATTCGTTACTGCCATTTAAAAAAAAAAAAATTTAATGATTTCCCTCTGCATGCCCATTTAAAATTTGCCCTGTTTAGATAAAAAATAATAATTTAAAATTAAGTGAAGCTCTAGCTTTAAATATTATGCTCGCATTAAAATTTTGCTACCTTAAATACCTGCCGCCAGATAATTATTTTTCTGCATTAAGACATTTCTCTGCCAATATTAAATAAATATTGCGATATTATTATTTTGCTACTAAATCTGCTCCTGCATATTTTAATCTTAAATTCCGTCCAAATAAAATTCTGCCTGAATTTTAGTCTCTACATTATTAATAATTATCTTGCAACTTCTAATCAACTAATAATTAAATATTTCCTGTATGCTTTATAAATAAAAATAAAATAAATTTTGCATTTTGTCATAACGCTATGTCCTTGTTAATTTATTTATAACATTATTGTGAAGCTTGTGTATGCTTGTATGCTCACACACTTAGCATGAAACCTTTCACAAGTATCTGTGTTTGCTAGCATGTTAATAAACTAATCTAGAGGCCAATATGAGACCCTACGTGCTAAATGCTCGTCCTAATTGTTTGACTTGGTGTCTAGGTGGGCCTATTATATTTTATTTTGTCTAAATTCACCCTAATAGCAGTCCAATGCCTGTTGGACCTTACGTGGGGACGCTAGACACCTGTTAGAGACGAAAAACATGCGGTGGTGAGGTAGGGGTAGTTTAGGCCCTATGGAGATGATGACATCGACTC